TAGTAACGAAAGTATAAAATAAGAGAGAGAGAAATAGAAGAAGAGAGAAGGGGGGAGAGAATAGAGGCGGAGGGGGAGACCTGAGAATGGAGAGAGAGACTGAAGAGAGATAAAGGCCGAGGGGGAGATCTTAGACTGGAGAGAGAGAGTGGGGCTATTGGGGTAATATTAGGTTTTATAAAAAATTTATAGGTCACGTGGAGTCACATGTGCATAGACCGTGACGGAGTCTTAATGGATACTAATGACAGGGTTAGAGTTAGTTAATTGTGAGAGTAGCGTAAATGAATTTTCAAACAGTAAAAGTGCACTTAGTCAATTAATTAAGCCATAAGGGTAGTTTAAAAAGTTTACCCTATTTTAAACATTATTTAAAATACAAAAAAAAAATAGTAAAACATGCTACTTTTTGTTGATTTAGCGTACAACAAATATTAGTTGAACTCTTAAATTTAACATCACGCAACATCACATGTAAGATCAGCTGAGGTGGGTGTGGGATGACAATAATAGAATGGTACTGAGGCAACCGTATAAAGTTGGTAATTTGATCTTCTTTCTTTTCGAGGTGGGCCCACGACATTCATACAATATATCAGATACAATGTGATGAACAACCTCTCACTTGTTTTTTTTTCACATATCTTCGTGTGGGTCCCACCTAGGCCATCATCAACCTGTTAGTGTTAAATAAGGGATATCCTATTCCAGTGATATATCCTATTCATCTAATTAATGGAGTTTCCATCCCTTTCAACAGTCATCCCTATTGTCTCTAAGAGAATGATCATGATCCTGTGCAGACAACCTATATTGAATAGTGGGCCCCGACCATTTGATGGGATCACATAGCCTCTTGTTAGGTTTATATTATTTTTAGAGGATACCGGCACGCCTATCTCATTCATTCTTTCTTGTCCAATAATCCATAAACAGACAAAGCTAATTGTCTGGTAGATGTGTACTAAAAACAAACAAAAAGTAAATTTTAAGTCATCTCATTCTCATCTGTCATTTGCAAACAAACACTACTTAAATGCCCTCTACAGACAGGCGGCTACACCAACTTAGCAATTAAAATATATGCAGCCTGATTATTACATCTATCTATAAATCAGTCCGGATGAGTCGGAGACAAATTCATACACACCCGGCTGAATTACCTCTATAAATTTTTGTCTCTAGCTAATCCGCTCCCTTTATAAATTTAAGGGAGAATGACGGTTCAGCCCAGTGTCAAAATTTTTAGGCCTAAAGTACAGTTAGAGTGGTATCGGTTCGGAACTGATGCCAATTTATGAGCAGACATTGGTGTATAGAGTGGGATTGTTGATATTTTGAATATTTATAGTTTTGTAACAAAAATCAGAAATCTGCATTGGGCCTGTCCGTACTCGATGAAAATTTTAAACTTAGGCTGTATTTGATTGCAATGCAAGTACATTTGCACTGATGCAAAACCATGACAGTACTAATGACTTGAGTGTAAATTTTGACTCATTTCTATTTTAAATTTTAGCTTATTCTGTTTGATTGCAGTACAAATAAAATAAATTAAGACATGAAGTAGAATAAAGTAAAACCCATAACAAAATTAAACAAGAATTTGTAATTTTTTTCATTTGCATTCTAATGCATTTGTACTAATGCAAATTAAATTGCACTGCAAACAAACGCAGCCTTAGGGCTCAGTTTGGAAAGAGTGCAATATAAATATGTACAGTCAAATACATACAAAATAATACAAAATGCAAGGTTTTGCATGTACACATTTGTATTTGTACTCCTTCGAAATTGAGCCTATAAGGCTGTGTTTGGTTGCATTGCAAATAAATTTGTACTGATGCAAAACCATGGCCATGCAAATGATTTGAGTGTAAATTCCAACCTATTTTTGTTTCAAATTTTATCTTATTTTGTTTGATTGCAGTACAAATGAAATAAATTAAGATATGAAGCATAATAAATTAAAATCCAAAACAAAATTAAAGAAGAATTCGCATTTTTTACATTTACACTCTCTTGCATTTTTTACTAGCATATATAAAATTGCATTGCAACCAAATACAGCTTAAAGCTCAGTTTGAAAGGAGTACAAGTACAAATATGTACAGTACAAATGCACACAAAATAATTCAAAATACAAGGTTTTACACCGTACATATTTGTATTTGTCTTTATACTCCTTCCAAACTGAACCTAATATATATCAAAAAGAAAAACGGAAAGTAAAGAGAGAATTTTGTCCACCCAAATATAAAGAAGCAGTGTTTGAATTTAAAGAGTCAATAACAGCTTTTGCATCAGACACAATATAAGAACTGAATTCCAATGATGATCTTCAGCACAAAGAAGATCACAACAGTTTTACTTAATTGTCATCATTAATTTTCGCTTGATGTGATTTCTACTAGATTTAGGCCCTTTGATAGAGAAATGTCATCCGGCACGTCATTGCACTTTAGGCTCAGTTTGTAAGGAGTGCAAAACCTTGTATTTTATATAATTTTGTATGTATTTACACAGTATATATATATATATATATATAATTGTATTTGTACTCTTTCTAAACTGAGTCTTAGGGGGCGATGGCGTTTGAAATACGGTTGCTCATGCCCCCAAAGAGGGATCCCAGAGTCTCCCATTCCATTCAATGTTGCACGTTACGGTGATATTGTTGTACTGACGGGTTTGGGGCAAGGTAGGCTATGTCCTTTCATTCTTGGGCTAATGGTTCGTTGACCAAATCAATGATTTTTTATCAAAAGCAATTTTAGGGTAAAATAGAATCGATAAGGTGATTGGTTCTCAATTTTTCCAGTCCAACCATCCGGTCCCATCCAGTTTTGAAAACATCATCGAAAAGAATGAGGGAGCATAATGTTGATGATGGTAATTTATACGTACCTGATGTCAACATGCATTTGGTCCCTTGAAGGATTTCGGACCTACAAAATCAAACTCGTTTAGTGAATAGGAGATATTTTATCCATTTGAGAAGTTGGATTGAATGAATACATTATCATTGTTACAGTCCGAATTTGAACAATATAAGCCGAAGAAGTTGGTCAAACCGAGTTACTACAAAGGTACCTACAAGAGATAGAGAGAGCCCTGAGGTGTGTCCCTTAGGCTCTGTTTGGAAAGAGCACAAATACAAATTTGTAGAATGTAAAACCTTACATTTTGTATTATTTTATATGTATTTGTACTGTATAAATCTGTATTTGTACTCTCTCTAAACTGAGCCTTATGCTCAGTTTGGAAGGAGTACAAACGTAAATATGTACAGTGCAAATACATATAAAATAATACAAAATACAAGGTTTTGAACTCTACATATTTGTATTTGTACTCATTCCAGATTAAGCCTTAGGCTCAGTTTGTAAAGTATACAAATGCAAATATGTTTGGTGCAAATGCATACAAAATAATACAAAATATAAGGTTTTGCATTTTACGTATTTGCAGTACAAATTTATTCACACTAGTACAAATGCATGGGAGTGCAAATGCAAAAAATGTAAATTCTTGTTTAATTTTGTTTTAGATTTTACTTTATTCTGCTTCATGCCTTAATTTACTTCATTTGTATTGCAATCAAACAAAATAAGCTAAAGTTTGAAACAAAAATAGGTCAGAATTTACACTCAAATCATTTGCACTGCCATGATTTTGCATAAGTGCAAATTTATTTGCATTGCAACCAAACACAGCCTTATAGTTTTATTCATCTAAGCAGGACAGAAATCGGCCTAATTAGATACAAATTTGGAAACCTTCTTTTCTTGGAAAGACAAACAACCTTTTAGTGAAGCTAATAATTTGAGTAGCTTCTCTAAAGCCTGATTGAAACTCTCCCAAATGGGGTCCTAATTCTGATTTCAGCTTCTGTGTTTGGTGAGGTTGCATTAATATACATTTATCACCATCACTCCAGTAAATTCAAAGCTTTATTTCTAATTACTCTTGCTCTGGTTCATCATTTTTAGCGTTCTGCTTGCTTCCCAGAAGAACGGATTGGTCACTTGGTCAGCCATGGCCTTTGAGGCTTGTTTGATTAATTTTCTGATTCTATGGTCGTAGCATCATTGTCTTAAGCTAATTTATTAAACTCTTAGGGGGCCTTCTCTTTTTGGATTTTTAGAGGAGGGAAAATTGGTAAATGGGATTTTAGTTCTCATTGACCAAGAATCTCATGTTCATTTTTTAGATTAATGTAGAGATCAGGGAAAATTATTTTCCTGTACCCATCTCTAAGTGGATAAATAACTTTCCCAAGTAAAAAGAAAGTTGCTAACACTTGAATGAGACAAAAATGTTCATTTAATAATGGATTTTTATGACTAAAATGGTTATTACCTTATTTATCTAAGAAATAAAAGAACACGGCCGGATAAGTGTTTCTCAGAAAAAACTTACCCAGCTAATTGCATTTACCAGGGTAAATAACTTAACGAAAACGAATGGGCCTTATTATATTATATAATCTCCACACATTTGAGCTCTTGATTATCATCTCACCAAATCTCACTATACCCAGGCTTCAGGAAAATGAGGCCATGGTCATATATATGCATAAGTAGGTCATTTGATTTCATATCTAAATGCATTAAATTATCCCACACCCAATTTGGTTTCTTTTTTTCTTTTTTTTTTTTTTCTGAGTAAAACCAAAGAGCACTACAACAAACGGGGGTAGTGCAACCCCAGAAGTCAGCAAGAGAAATAAAAGGAAGAGAATGGGGGAGGGGAGAAAAGCTAAAAGATAATGAATCCAAAGTAGCAATTAATCCGAGCTTCAGCAAGAGTAAGAAATTAATGTATTAATGTATGACCAATAATCAATTGGAGGGTTCGACGTCTATGATGCCGGAAAGGCATGATACTGGAAAAACTTTTCGGCGTCGATCATAGATTTTCCCTGCTATGAAAATATGAATGACATTCCAGCTGCATTCATCACTTGAAGAATTACATTCTAATGGAAATAATCACTCTTTTAGAAGAAGATATTTTATTCATTCACGATTCAACCTTAATACACACTTACTTGCGCTAAGTAATTCAATCAAATTAAGATTCTTTTTTAGTAGTGCACTTCCACTTTTAAGCAAATATGTCACAAGAACACATGATCACAAAGCATGAGACTATATATATATATATATATATATATGCACAGTTGAGTACTGTTTTGATCTCTGATCTGATGATGATGATGATGAACTTATTAGGGTTTATGTGGTTGGAGGCGAACTGGGAGTCCCTTGGCTGGCTGTGGCATTGGATCAACGATTATCTTCTCATCAGGAAGAGCATTCTCCCATTTGAACCTTCTCACCAAATGGTAAATAAACACTAGTATTTCTAGTCGTGCGTATTCTTTTCCTGGGCACATTCGAGGTCCCCCTCCAAAAGGAACAAATGTGTAAGGAGCTGGTCCGTTCCCTTCGAACCTTGAAGGATCAAACTTGAGCGGTTCAGGGAAGTACTTTGGATTCCTGTGCGTCGAATTTGATGTCCAATACAACTGCAAAGAGTAAAACCACACAACAAGGTTTAAATATTTAATATTTCTCTGTAAGTAATCAACACTTAGCTAAGCTTTAATTAGTCTTTAAAAGATTGATTCTTTGATCATGAATTTCAGTGACAAATAACCATATATAAGAACTTATAATATATGGATGTGATAGCAGAGATATATAGATCATCACCTTCCACCCTTTTGGAATGGAGAAACCTGCGAACGTGAAGTCAGTCAAGGCCTCCCTGAAAGTTCCTTGCAGGGGTGGGGCCAGTCGCATCACTTCGCATGCTACGTTCCATGAATATTTCATCTTCTGTATGTCCTCCCAGGTTAGCAACTCACCAGAGGCTTTTGACTTGGCGATCTCAGTTTGCTCTGTTCATTCTCCAACCAGAAAATAATATCTTTCAATCAATATTAATCCAATGGGTTATTTTACTTCATGGGTCGATGCAATTTGATTGGAAAAAACAATTAAGTGGGTTTTTGTTTGTTTTTACCCTTGAGGACTTCATTATAGATTTCTGGAAGCTCTGCGAGATATTTCATGATGAAAGTAATGGCAGCACTTGCAGTGTCATGGCCACCGATTAGCAAACCAAGTATTTTATCAGCTATGTCCAGTTCGTTCATGAACTTCCCACTCTCGTCGGTGGTTGTGAGCATGTGGGACAAGATGTCTTGCGTGGAGGACACTGTTTTCTCTGCTAAATCCGTTTTCCTCTTCCTGATTATTGCGAGTAGTTCCTTGCGAATCAGTTGGGCTGCTTTGATCGCCCGGTTAAAAGGTGTTCCGGGCAGATTAATCGGTAAAGACATGACTCCCGCGGCCAAGACGTGAAAGGGGTCGGCGAACTTGGCAACATGGTCGGGATCTTCGATGCTCATGAACAGTCGGCATGCCAACGAGAAGGTGTACCTCTTAACCAGAGGGAACACGGTCACCTGTTCTTTCCCATCCCAACTTGCATCCAAATGCCGCCTGGCGACTATATCCATTATTCCTACGTACTTCTGCAGAGCCTCGGGCTTGAGGAAGGAAGGAAGCAACTTACGCATCTTCACCGCTTCCTCTTTGGTGGAGGTCTGGAGAGAGGTAGGGAAGATCTTCTCGACTGAGCGAGGCCACCAGGAGGTGACAAGTTTGTTCTCGTTAGAGAAGAGAAACTTGTTGCCGCCGGCACCGCAGAAGACTGCGGCCGGTTCTCCCAGCAGCGAAGTCTTGAACACTTCTGGGGAGTACTTCTTCATCCTATCCTCGAAGAATTTCTCAGGCGTCCCATTTCGGCCTGTCGAGAGGAACTCGAGACTTTCGCCAACGACGGGCCAACCTAGACTCCCCGGCGGGAGGTATGCTCCGCCGGTGCGCTTGTATTTACAAACGAAGTAACGAAGGGAGAAGCGAAGGGAAAGAGAAAGGAAGAGAGCTAACAGGAGAAGAAGTGACAAGAAAAACAGTTCCATATCGTTGTCGCTCATGTGGTGTGGTATCTCTCTCCTACAGAAGTAGTGAAGTTTGATGAAAAGTAACGAGCCGGGTGTGAGGTTAATCAAATATATGGGAAGGAGCTGTTACGGTGCATACAGAAATTTATTCTATTTAATCGCTGGTGGGGTTGGCACGGCTTTCTTTCTTTATCGCAGAGTTGGTGAAGACTGAAATAATCCATTAATTGGATCTCATTCGAAGTGATAAAAGAAAGAAATCAGACTATTTGTTGGCTTGCTGGGGCTTTTGCGTGCATGAATGTATATATGTTACATGTCTCATATACCCCACCCATGTCGTGTGCCAGTTGTTTGATTTTTTATCTCAAAGAACTTGCCAAATATTTGCACTATAATGCTTGAAATGCAAGTATACAAACATTTTGTAGTGAGCTTCTTAGCTGAACGCTTTAGAATGTCCTTCTCACAAAGCGCTCTTTATACTGATCTCATAGCATATACAGTTATACATTCGGAACATCTTTCTTTCGTATTTATATGTTATTATTCATAGAAGATATTCTCAGTACATGGGTGAGATATGACTGAGGTCGGTGTGAGGAGCAAATCCCAATAATTCATGAAACTAGTGATTGCATTTGGCGTCAGTGATAAAATACATAGAACCCACAATTTGGGATACATTCTTTACAGAGGACTCCTTACACTGGTTTCACAGCCACATCCCATTGTATGTTGGGAATATTTCTAATGAATAATAATATACAAAAGAAACGTTCCTAACGGACAACTGCTACATGCTGTGAGATTGATGTGAGGAGCATTGTATGATATGCTTATCCGGGCTCGAGGCCCATATTGAGAGATTGAATGATTGATGATCAGATTGGCTGCCCACAGAGAACAAACACCCCACAGCTCATCTCCTCCATGCATGGGGAGCATCTTCCATCCTTATCATAGGGGGGATGCACTCCGTGAGCAACTGATCCCGTCTAGAATAATTGTGAGATCATATTTTTTGTGATCGATGAAAAATATTATCATTAGGCTCAATTTAAAAAGACTATAAATCCAAATATATATAATGCAAAAAAATATAAAATAAAAAATTTTACACTTTACATATTTACATTTGTACTCCTTCCAAACGGAGCTTTAATTTCACAGCCTATAAACAGTTAGAGCGTTCGGCTAATACTTTCTCCTGTTATGTCGGCCATATTTGTCCAAATTAGCTACACTTTGACCATGTGTTTGTGAGGAAAAATATCTGTAACCTTGGTTGCATGCGACCCCAATGAAATGCTAAACACACCAAATATATATATATATATATATTTCAAATTAGGAATATATTAAATTATATACTCATGTGAAAAGGTTGCCACGTATGATTAGATTGTATGTTCTCAAAATATTCACCCGATTTTTGATCCCATCTCATTTCATTCGAGGTCACATACAACCATGATCCATTATATTTTTCAGTTCAGATCTGCACCCTACAAAAGGGCGCCCCACAAATTCTTACAATACATCTCGTTGTGTATTAGAAACATCTTCCGATAATGATATCATCAATTCTGATAAATGGCTGTTTAAAAAATATCATATTCTCATGTTCGAGATTTGGCCAACTCAAAACCAGTCACATTGGTGGATTTCAATTGCATATATATATATATATATATATATATATATATATATATATATATATATATTTTCGGGAAAAGGTCTTCTATGTGAGTTGTCGGTGAATGTACAATTTTTTTTTTGGATTAATAAGCAATGTGTTCAATGTCGCCTCCAATGCATGATTTTTAAAAACGAACCGATAACCAAACCGGTCAGGGGTCCGTTACCGGTTTGAACGGTCCGACCGTTTAACTTGAACCATCGACCCATTCTGACAAAAAATTAAAAAATTTAAAAAATTAGAAAACAGTCAAAACCGTTTGAACGATTAACTAACCGATTTAGCAGTTTGCTGATCAAAATCAACGATTTTAAAGAAAAACGGTTCCCGGTTTTTCTGGCCGGACCGTCCGATCCGGTCCAGTTTTGAAAACCATACTCCAATGAATATTCAATTTCCATTCTATATATACAACACATTATTGTAACTCTAAATGCCCAAGTTGCAAAAATTTAGTCGTAGAATAAATAAATATAAATCATGGTTCAATGTATTCATATTCTTTACAGGAAAAATTAATGTATCAAGAGTTGAAATCAATAGATACCCTTTGTTTAAGGGCTTCCTTCATTTGCTGATATTTAATGGGGCAAATTGGTCAATCGTACCGGTTGATACTTTGAATCTTGGATAAATCATTTATCCATCTGTTAAATCACATTCTCTTTTTATCCGAGTAATGATTAGCATACAAGAACCCTGGAAGTATGCTTATTCGGACAAGGTTTACACACTTACCCATGTAAATAAAAATGAATTAGGCTTTATTAATTTGGTCCAATAATTTAAGATGGATTACATGCATGTCATATCACTAACATACAAAGTCAATATAATGAAACTTGATACAATATACTCTGATACGTATCGATATTTGAATCTTTGAACCTCAATTAATTAACAAACTAAATACAAAGAAGGAAACAGAGGTTAAGGGCTGGCTAAGAACATTTTCTTGGAATCATTTTAACCAAATTTGGCTTGCAACCATAACTCTAGTTGACGTGTACTTCAGAGTAGGTTTTGTATAGCCATGCATGCAACAGCTCTGCCAACCCTAACCCTAGATTGTATTTCAAATTCTTCTGACTTAGTGGAATGCCTAGCATGTTTTATGTCAATGTCGTAAGTGTTTTTTGCCACCATCATCATCATTGTCATAACTTACATGTTTACTAAGTTGTTAAATAGATTGCAAATCAAGTAGTGAGTCCTCGTAACAACTGAACCAGTTGGATCTTTATAATATACATAGTTACATGTTTAGGTAAAGACCTAGAGAAGCTAGGTAGTCAAACCTTATACATTAAATAGCAAGATTGGTTGGGTCTATATGACCCATAATATAATCATAGTGTAGGAATACAGAGACAATTGCTTTCTAAATTGGCCCTTAAAAGTTTCTCAAATGACAGTCCATGGGGCCTAGATTTTCATGGATGTTCAACTTGGTCTAATCGGCAAAAGTCGGTGCACCGAAAAGATATGAGAAACCCATTTTTAGCTGATTTTAAGAAACTCCGAATGAAGCTTTTTTGCATCTTTCTCACTTTATTCTTACACAGAAAGACACGAAAAGATGCAAGATAGTCAAACTAGCTTCGGGCTGTTTAGATCTTCATGCAAAAGCTCAATGCGCCTTTTGACTGTTAGAACTACTAGAATATCTTCCCAAAAAGACTTGCCCAACGGCCCCCTAAAGACAAAGTAACAAGCTTTTCGGTTCAACATCTTCACCACTTTTATCAAATGACCTATTAATTTGTTTATTTATTTATTTTGTGAAAGAGGCAACTTGAGGAGGAAAAAGAAGTGTTGTTTGTTTTCTTTTATAGATTAACATAATGCAATTGCAAGTTGATGGAAAAGAAATTATCTTTCTATACTACTATAAAGCATATACTTGCCTTGATTTTAGTACAAAAGATAAAAGTTGAATTTGATTATTTAATGTCCACTTATATCTATACCCTTTACTTGCACACATGCACTACTCTAGTACTATATAATAGATATATACTTGCCATAATTTCAGTGCAATTTATAAAATTTAATTTCTTTCAAGGACTAAAACAATTAAATCTAAATAACATATATTGTATATGTTTAATACTTGCACATGTGCATAATACTTGCTCTTACACTAGTATATGATTATATGAACTTGAAATAAAAAAAGCATATGAAAAACTATTTAATTAATAAACAATGTTTTATATGAATAAAACAAAAAGTCCAAACTAAGGAAACTAATGCTAATTATAGGAATATGAAATTATCTACTTTGAGGTAAGATATGTCAAATTCGATTGTCATATTTGGGGATTCTAATATTAAAGTCATTATGGGCGCAAGTTGGTCGATCAATAGATTGATCATTATAATCATATCTGTTTTCCGCTAATTGGGTCCCAAAGTAGATGAGGATACCCAACTGATACTTCCCTGATTTGGGTAAATCATTTATCCATTTCACCTCTCACCTCTCTCCTTACCCGAGTAATGGTTAGCATACAAGAACCCTAGAAGCAAGTTTTACACACTTACCCATGTAAGCAAAAATGAATCAGGCTTTATCAATGTATGTGATACAATTTTCTATGATACGTACCGATGCTTTGTTTGAACCTTTAAGCCTTGATTAATTAACAAATTAACCCTAAATTTTTTTAGAATCGTTTTAATCAAATTTGACTTGCAACCATAACTCTAGTTGACGTTTACTTCAGAGTAGGTTTTGTATGGCCATGCATGGAACAGCTCTGCCAACCCTAACCCTAGATTGTATTTCAAATTCTTCTCCAATTAAATATGATTTAGTGGAATGCCTAGCATGTTTTATGTCAATGTCGTCAGTGTTTTTTGCCTTCACCATCATCATCATTGTCATAACCTAACCCTAATTTTAGACTCTTCATCAGGTCTATTAAGTTGTTAGATAGACTGCAAATCAAGTAGTGAGTCCTCGTAACAACTAAACCAGTTGGATCTTTATAATATACATACTTACATGTTTAGGTAAAGACCTAGAGAAGGTAGGTAGTCAAACCATATACACTAAATAGCAAAATTGGTTGGGTCTATAAGACACGTAATCTATTCATAGTGTAGGAATACAAAGACACATTGCTTTCTAAATTGGCCAAGTTACAGCCCATTAAACAAATGGGCTTAAAGTTTCTCAAATGAGAGCCCATGGGCCTAGATTTTGATGAATGTTCAATTTGGTCAGACATGAAAAGTCCATTTTGGGTTGATTTCGGGAAGTTCTAAATGAAAATTTTCGCGTCTATTTCACTTTATTCTTGCATGAAAATATACGAAAAGATGCATGGAAAGATGTACAGTAGCTAAACTAGCTTTGAGTTGTTTGGATCTTCATGCAAAAGCTCAATGCGTTTTTTGACTGTCAGAACTACCATAAGATCATCTCAAAAAGATTTGCCAAACAGCCCCTAAAGACAAAACAATAAGTTTTTCAATTCAACATCTTCACCATTTTTATCAAACGACCCTATTAATTTGTTTATTTATTTATTTTATAAAAGAGGCAACTTGAGGAGGAAAAAGAAGTGTTGT